AGTATGAACAAAGTTGCACACAAGAACCCCTACTGTTCTGCACATGGGAATAGTTTAGTGTCGGCAGTTCGATCTCATCAACACCTGCTGAAAGGAAAGCGAGATTTCATTCGGAACCTGCCTAATCCCACAATGCGAAAGGAATTTGTAAAATAAAGCCTTCTGGACTAGACACTTTTCCTCATCCGCCCCGTGATTGTGGCCTCTTTCCAAACGAATTATCACCGTAATCCACTTCCTTGAAAAGAAGTCTTAGGCTGGTCATCATGTCATCACTACCCGATTCACTCTTTCTCCGATTCGGAGTCCATTGAGTTTCACAGAAAATGCATCGGCAAGCTTTCGGTGGCATTGTGTTGTAGATAATGGCGTTCACGCCATGTTGAATATAGAAATCAGAGAAGTAACTCGAATGAAAATAAGAACTTTTTCCAACGGCCTAGTAGGTTTGAAAGTTATGGGCCATCTTAATATATCGGATTCCCGGGAAGGCAGCTTAAGATAGCCCAAGTAGCAGCTCTTTTCGCGTGTTGACTTTGACACTATTTGGCCCCCATAACGGGCTAGTTCAGCTCTTCGAACCTGTTAGGAACTATGTGTGTATGTTTAAGTTGTCCTCATCACGTTTTTTAACGTACACCAGCGTACGGTCAAGGGAAAGTTAAGGTCCACAGTTGTGGGTCTAGCACTGCAGCAGCGCAGTGTGCGACATAAACAACAATGATGCGATCGTGCGCGACCTTCTCTTACTGTCTTCACTATTTTCTGCTCTGATATATCTGCTCTGTATAGAGAATTGAAAAAATGTCAAACAAATTTCCCCCACAGTGGTGAACGTGGAAAGATATGCCTGCACCAAGGCTCATATTAATCATGTGTAAAGATTCAAGCTGTGCCATAGACTTTCCACGCGGCCACATTTTGTGTTCTTAGTTCTCAACTTTCTACTATTAGGTTGTCCCATAATTAGTGAATCACTTTACATTTATTGCTATTAAAAATCCAAGAAAAATGGTGAAGGCGTGAAACATGTTTTGCGAAGTAGCATCCACATTATCCTACCTGAGCAATTAGTCAGCCCATTTACATGCTGCCTTACGTGGCTATTACATCAATTATTTTTATGGATAGAGCATGGAGTGAGGCATTTTGGCAGCTATTAATACAAAGTCATACTTTGTGTCGGGTGCGAGAACCAAGTCATTTTCCGAATGATTACGTCGGCGCGCCACCGAGAGATGGTCTTCTTCGGTGAAATGCCGTTCAGAGTGAACTCAACTTCCGATCGTCAAAATGATGGAGGCACTTTGCCTAGGGACGGTGGAAGCTGACGATAGATGGAGAATTCGTGAATGTTACGGAAAGGCAACAAAATCATGGTTTGGTTTGCGATAGCCATGAAGTCGTGTCTCCACTTG